CGGCGAGCGGAAAAGTGGAGGAACAACGCATTTCCATGCTGACGGGTCCCAGGAATTCATGCCTCGCATGGCTTAGCATTACATTGCCGAAAATTCCCAATCAGTGCTTGCACTGAAGGGGTCCTAGCGGAGGTTGAAAGATTTGGCGAAAGTGGCTGGCCGATTTCGGTGGGCGGCTGGGTTCCCGGGTTCCCGTTTCCGCCTTCCCGGGTCCCAGTTGCTGGTTCCTGACCGACTTCGGTGGGCGGCAGGGTTCCCGTGGTTCCGGCTTCGGGTTCCCAGGTTCCCGGGTTCCCGGTTGATGTCACGATCGATCCAAGTATCGATTTTACCATCCATCTCACTCAACCGATTTCGCTATCGATATCATTAGAGATCTCATTCAAGTCATATCACTCTCGATCGAAACACCATCTCACGCAATCGATCGCGTTATGGATCTCACCACCGATCTCTTCCAATCGAGTGTACGATCGATCCCACGATCGATCTTATTATCGTGTTGACCGTTAGTATGATTAGATTGATCTTAACATCGGTATCACGATCGATCTCACTATCGGCCTCACTATCGATGTTATTACCGAATTCAGTCAATCGACCCTATGATCAGCCCCACTTCCGATCTTACTACCGATTCCACCATCGACCTTACTATAGATCTCACCCAATTTATCTCACTAGTTGAATCACCATTTTCGATATTACCATCGACCTCGATATCGGTGTCACTGTCGGTGTTACTTTCGATCGCACTATTGATCTCACCATCGATGCCACTATCGATATCGCCATCGATTCCGCCAACCAGTGCCAAGCAACGTAGATGTTTCGGCAATGCCACGCAATGCTAAGCCATGCGAAACAGGAGTTCTTGGGACCCGTCAGCACGGCAGTGCATCGGTCCTCCGCTTTTCCACCTGCCGTATCGCGCTGGCATGGTTCCTTGGTTCCCGGCCGATCTCACAATCGATCCAATCATCAATTTCAGTATCGGTTTCACTATCGATCTCACTATCCATGTCACCATCGATATCACTATCGATATCACTATCCATCTCACCATCCATGTCACGATCGATCTCACTATCGATCACACAATTTATATCACGATCGAGCTCACTATCGGTTTCACGATCGATTACACGATCGTTCTTAATCGGTGCCACGATCGATGTCACTGACTACCCAACCATCGATCGCATGTTCAATCTCACTACCGATCTCAAAATCGATTGCATGTTCGAACCGACTATCGATCTCAAACTAGATCTCACCATCGATATCCGTATCGATATCATTAATATTGTTACCCAATCTGCTTCACTGTCTATATTACTATCGATCTGACCATCAACATCGATCTCACTAGCCTTGTCACTCAATTGATCTCACTATCGATCCCACCATCGATTGCATTATCGATATCACTATCGATCACACTGATAGCTTCACTATCGATCTCACTACCGATACCACTATCAATCTAAAGATCGATGGCATAACCGATCGCACGATCGATGCCACTACCATTCTGACAACCGATCCTTCTATCGTTGTCACTATCGGTATACTTATCAATATCATCGTCGATCTCACTATCCACGTCAATCAATTGATCTCACCATCGGTAGTACTGTTGGTCTTCCCATCGGTGGCACTGTCGATCTGACTATCGGTCTCACTATATCCATGCCACCCAATCGATCCCACTATCGATCTCACTATCGATCTCACGATCGAACTTACGATCCCTCCCACCATCGATCCGATTCAATCGATATCACTATCGACGTCACTATCGATATCACTATCGATCTCGATACCGATCTCACTTTCGGTCTCACCACCGGGCTCACTAAATCGATGTCGCCACCAATCACACTACCGATCTCACTAGCGATCTCACGATCAACCTCACTTCTGATCCTACTCGATGGGTCTCACTATCGATCCCAATATCGATTTCGCTATCGCTATCATAACATGGCATAGCTTATAGCGTAGAATAGAACACCCACGCGGCGCGGGACACCACGGGACACCACGGGACACCATCGGGACATCATCGGGGCACCACCAGGACACCATCGGGACACAATCGGGACACCACAGGGTCACCACAGAGACTGCGGGCCAACCAGGGGACAGCAACGTTTGGCTCGGCTTCGCCCTGGCAACGGCGGGTTCTTTCCTCTCGCACGCCCACGCAGCCTCGACTCGCCCGCACGCGCGACACGAACACGAAGCCGAAACCGATTTCCCGGTGGGGGGGTCTCGGTTTCATTGCGATCGCAGCCGCCATTTTCCGACATAGAGAGAGAGAGAGAGAGAGGAAGACAGAGAGCGAGAACCAAACAGTTATGGAAACGAAAAAACATGAGAGATACATAGTGTGTACGTAGCACCCCGCAGATGCGGATAAGAGTGAGGGGGCGGTGGGGACGCCGGCAGTTTACGAGACTCTGGAGAAGCCCGCCGCAGGCGCAAAAGCTTCACACATTCCACAAGGAGCCCGCCGCAGGCGCCAATTTTTTCGTTAAAACAATGTGGGTAGGTCGCGGGTGGGTCGCAAATGGGTCGCGGGTGGGTCGCTGTTGGGTCGCGGGTGTGTCGCGGGTGTAGAGGGCACAGAATCCATTTCATAATAATCACCCCGAAAAATGCGAAGCCGTTAAGTAAACGCACACAAGGAAAGAATCGAAATGGCAGGGCTATTTAGTCAACGCCCAGGGCCGTTTAGTAAACGTCAATTGTCGGGCCCGGGTGGCTTTTCCTCCCTTGAGGGTGGGTCGCGGCGTGGGTCGCGGGTGGGTCGCGGGGTGGGTCGCGGGGTGTGTCGCGGGTGGGTCGCGGGTGGGTCGCGGGTGGGTCGCGGGTGGGTCGCGGGGTGGGTCGCGGGTAGGTCGCGGGTTGGGTCGCGGGTGGGTCGCGGGGTGGGTCGCGGGTGGGTCGCGGGGTGGGTCGCGGGGTGGGTCGCGGGGCGGGTCGCGGGTGGGACGACGACAACAAACAGCAACAACAACAACAACAGCAACAACGCAACTAACATAATTATCACAACGAATTCTTTACTCAGCCACGCACCCAGGGACAATGAATGACCTTTCGGCCCCCTCACCCTGATATTATCATAGATATATATATAGAGAGAGAGAGAGAGTTACGCATAAGTGCGTCTGTATGTAGATGTGTATGCACAGCGAAGAAACATAGAGAGTGACACATGCATTGAGAGAGAGGAACACGTAGAGAGAAAGAGAGAGATGAACGTAGAAGAAATAGACTGGACTACGCTGTGTATTCGAACTAGACTAGGGCTGAGGGAGTGCCGACCGAGGTACCTGCGAAAAGCTCAAAAATCCACTGATGGAGTTGTCTCTGGGGTAATCGATGTTGCTTGGCACTGATTGGCGAAATCGATCGTGAGATCGATGGTCACATCGATGGTGAGATCAATATTGCGATCGATAGCGACATGGACAGTGGGGCCAATAGGGAAGTTATATCGACGGTGGTGATGTCGATAGTGAGATCGATTGAATGAGATCGATCGTAAGATCGATCGTGTCAGCGATAGTGAGATCGAAGTTGAGACCGACAATGAGGTCGATTGAGTGACTCTGGTAACGACATCGATGGTGGGCTGGATACTGTGACCGATCGTGTGGTCGAAAGTGAGATCGACGGGAATATTGATTGAGTAAGATCGATGGTGAAATCGATCACTCGAATGGTGAGACCAAATGAGTGAGATCGGTAGTGATACTGATATCGAGGTCGATTGCGTGAGATGGTTGGTTCGACCGTTGATGCGATCTAACATCAACTGAATGAGATGAGTAGTGAGATCGATTCAGTGAGATGGATGGTTGGATCGATAATGAGATCGACGGGAAACCCGGGAACTCAGGACCCCGAAACCGGAACCCAGGGAACCCCGCCGCCCACCGAAGTCGGTCTGGAGCCAGCAGCCGGGTCCCAGGAATTGAGAAACGGGAGCCCGGGAACCCGGCCGCTTACCGAAATCGGCCAGCCGTTTTCGCCAAATCTTTCAGCCTCCGCTAGGACCCCTTCAGTGCAAGCACTGATTGGGAATTTCTGGCAATGTATTGCTAAGCCATGCGAGACATGAATTCCTGGGACCCGTCAGCATGGAAATGCGTTGTTCCTCCACTTTTCCGCTCGCCGCATCGCACTGGCATGATTCCCAGGCTCCCCGCTAATGGAGGAACACCAGTCGATTCCCACAATCTTCGCTCACAGGCGGTGTTTCTATCCCAACCCCCGGCTTTCCGACGAACAATGAAGCGGCTAGTAAAAGGAGGGGAGCCCTGGGATACATTCCCGGGGGGCAATGCGGACGCACCCCTATCGGGGTTGGACGCCCCCCCCCTCGTGTATCCCAGGGTTGGGCCTCAAACCTTCGGTCCATTCGAACATCTTCCAAAGCCTGGGATAGGGATCGACATATCCCCTGTTATCTGCGATGTTGTGATAGTGTTAAGTCGGGCTTGTCCCTCTACAGGGGGAATATTCAAAAATAGTTATGAAAAAATAGTCTGGGGACCATTTTTGAGTATTTTCGGGCATTGTTTAAGCATTTTGAAATATTTTCCATTTTTTCATCCAAAATCCCCCTGTAGGGGGACAGGCCCGACATAGTGATAGCGTTTGGATGGTAGCGCGACGATCTCGGCCAGATCCCGGGCCTCCGAGGGGCCCCGAGCCCTCGCCGTCTTTCCTCCCGCCGCTGCAGAAGCCGCCGGGTTCCGTCCCCATCGAAACCTGGTCGTATTACCAGTCTCCATATGATTCGTAGTGCGATGCTCATGTGTCGTATCTACTGTTGTCACTACGATGGCAGGCATTCGTGCTGTTATCACTGCTAAAGACATGGCACTTGCAAGCGTCACTGCTACGGATAAGAGAGAAAGATATTCTCATTCGCCCTCCTCCTCGACCTCCTTCTCTCCTCCCCCTTCCGGGCGCACGCCGAGGAGCGCGCGTCCTGCATCCGGGTGGAGATCCTGAGCGCCCCCGACTTCGGGCCCAGCTACCGGGCCCGGAGGGGCTTCCACGTGTCGCTCGACGGGGTGTGCGCGGGGCGCGCCCGGCTCCGCCGCCCGAGCGCCACGGTGCCGGGAGACCCCCTGGTCTCGGAGCCGCCAGCTTGACGCCGGTCCCCAGTCTCGGGCCGAACGAAAGGGGGGGATATAGGGAAAGGGGGGGGTTACGAAATCTGCTGCATGCAGCTGGTTTCGGCCCCGCCGCCGGGCCCATGCCTCGATACATGGGCGCCTCCCGGCGCCGGGAGGCGCCGGGGAAGTCAGCTACGTGAGCTGATTCTCAACCCCCCCCTTTGTTATCCCCCCCTTTCGCCCGGCCCGACAGTCACCCCTTCCCCGTCAGACCTCGACCGACTCGAGGAAGTATCCTGTCCGGGTCGTTCCTGCGTGCTCGGTCTTTGGGGGCAGATGCCGGAGCAAACTGGAGGACGGGCAGAAGAGGATGCCCAGGATCAGCGTGTGGGTGGTTGAAAATCAGGGTTGAAAGAATTTGCCTTCGGGCATCCTGCGCACATACATCCCACACATCAGAAAGTCATACGTTCCCAGGTGGTGGTGGTGGTGAGTATCCTTATCCCTGGCAGGGAGGGAGTAAGGATAGACTTGTTCTTGTTATGATTGCTTCCCAGGTGCATGTGAGCATCCGCGGCGTTGGCAGTTTTCTGGATTTCAAGGGGGGCAAGCGGTCTACAAAGAACTTGTTGAAACGATGGCTGAAGCTCCTGTACTACGAGGACAGGACGAGTTTCTGGTGTGCCGCTGGCTGCAAGGTGTACGAGAGCCTGCACGAAGTCGTGGTGATGATCCTTACCCTGCAGGTGATCATTCGATTCCTGCGCCGTCCTCCATCCTTCTTCCCCCGGTCTTCCCCAGCGGCCTCAAATCAGCGAGCGAAGAACGGTATACAATAAACTTTTTCGCCGTCGGGGACACCTGCCCCTGGGCGGCTCGAAAGTTTATACCCCTACGGTGCCACCGTAAGGGTATAAACTTTCCAGCCGCCCTGGGGCAGGTGTCCCCGACGGCGAAAAGTTTATTGTATACCGTTCTTCGCCCGTTAATCAAACGCCGTAGAAGTCACAAACAAGAGAGCCCAGTGCAATTGCCAGAAGGCTGAGTACCCACGACGGGGCCCGCCCTTGGGGAGAGCTGGGTGCACGCGCGGCAGGGCACGCAGCCCTCCTGCGTCGATCTGGTTCTTTCAGGAGGAAAAGAAACACACAGACACAATTAATCCTCGATTCCCCAGAAAATATGGGAAAATATGGGAAGTGGGCGGGAAGACAGAAACCCAGAAAATATAAAAAATGAGAATAGTTTTATTTGTGTGTATTTATTTGTGTGTCCTGGAGCCCCTTCAGCAACCCTCCTGCGTCGATCTGGTTCTTGGGCTACCGAGCGCGCGGCAGGCCAACCAGTGCGGCGCGCAGGGGCCGCGACGGGGCGACAATGTGTTAAGATGTGTGCGCCTGCATGTTTTGCCCAGCTGGTGAGCGACAGCGCAGGGCCCAGTCGCGTCGTGGAAGAACCATACGGCGGCAGGTGTCGGCCATGCTGGGCATGTGTGAGGGCCCTTTTTTGGGCCCTGGGTCCGTCGGGCAGCGACTCCGTATGACAAGCCATGCGGGGCGCTCCAGAGCGGGCGCCTGCACGGGGCGTTGCGGAATAGACCTCGGCTTCGAGAGACACATCAGTTGATTGTTTGACTCTCGGCCGAAGGCAGGCGGCAGCAAAACAGCGTCGGCTCCGCCAGCGGAAGGTCTGCGAAAGCTGCTGGAAGCCAACGCATCCCCCGCACACGGCGTGTGATGGTATTTTGAGCCTAGGGTGTATATCCAGATGTCCGCGGCAGGCAACGCCACCGTGTCAGTCCAGCATTTTGGGTGGCGTTTGTTCGAGGGGGCACGGCAAGCCGCCACTCGTGACGCCTCATGTCCCAAAGTTTGGGAGAGCCGAAATGCAGATGATGACGCGGAAGAGCAGGAGTAGGAGGATGTCAAGGAGGAGAAAGAGTATGGCCGTCACATGTGACACATTCCGCCTTCACATCATGGAGATCATTTGCCGTCTTGGGGCAGTCTTGGGCTTCCGTGGGCAGTCTGGGGGGTCTCGTCAGGCTGTCTCGGGGCCATCTTGTGCCGTCTTGGGGCTCTCTTGCGCCGTCGAAGGGCCCTCGTGGCCAGATGTGGCTTGTGTTGGGGCCGCTGCGGGGGCCCTCGTGGGGTCTTTCTGAGGCCGTCGAGAAGCCCTCTTGTGCCGCCTTGGGGCCGCGTTGGAGGCCTTTTGGGCAATTATGTGGTCCTCGTGCGCCGTCTTGGTACAACCTTCGGGGCCTCATGAGTCGTCTTGGAGCTATCTCTTGGAGCTACATATCCTGGAGGTTTCTCGGGCCGTCGCCCGACAAAGCCGGAATGCGAGAGTCGATCAAACGTTTTAGGACGGTCAGTGTTGTTGATTCTTTCGGGCCCTGCTGGAGGTCTTATTTTGGCTCGCTTAGCTCGTGGGCCCTCTTGGAGACATGTTGGGCCATCTTGAGAACATCTCGAGCCGCCTTGGAGCCTTCTGGGGCCGTCTTGGAGGCATCTTGGATTTTGAAGGAGCTCGAAGGGGGGATTGTATAGCGAACATAATGGTGCATGTCCGGCCCTATATTTGGCTCAAGGTAGCACTACCCAACTTGACGATCTCGCGTTTGCGAGGTACCATTGAGCCTGAGCGTCAGATAACGGCCACATCCACCGATGGTTCATCTGCTTATCCTACGCATTATCTCTCAGCTCTTGTCCTGCTTGCCATCAAGAGACAAGCCATGGGATACCATGATATTACTACGACGTCATCCTACGAAGCGGGGTCTCAGCTTCCTACCTCATGGAGACCCCCTGACCCTCGTTTGTCATCACCTGGACACGGAGCTGGCCTCATCTTAATGTGGTTGGCTCTTACATCGGGGTTTCAAGTTTCAATACATAACAATTAACCACGGCGCAGTGGAATACCCCATTGCGCCGGCTGTCAACCACTACGCTCCCAATGCTCTTCAACCAAATTGGTAGTTTATTATCCGGCTCCTCCATGTCTCCACCGTGTGGCAACACCCCGCGCGCAGACCAAACCCCCACGCCCATCCGCATATTGACGGCCACGTAAGATCAAACACCCAGTCATATCCCTACGGGTACGACAGCTGCCAAAGAAACAGACCTTGACATCATCAACTACAATGTGACCACGCATTACGCCAAGGTTACCATATTCGGGATCATATGAGCGAGCGTGGGTCTGGTATAAGTGTACATGCGAGGAGGAGGACCGGATGAAACACGCACTCGGGGCTCCCACTGCGGCCCCGCAGGCAATTTACCTTTCCGCGACTTGGTTCGCGAAATACACGCATGGTTTAACGTCGCAGGCGGAAGCGTGACTCCACCCCAACAGGCCGCCGCTTCACAGCGAAGCTTAGGGGGCCTAGTTAGCCAGGACACTCGCCATGAGGGTGCTGTCTACCATCATCAACTCCGGCGTCACCTTACAGGGTAGACGCACCGATGGGGCCACATACGTTATTTTCTTTCTTAGCACCAAATGCGAAAACCTCGAAGGTGACTGACAGCTCACCTTGGGAGCAGCTCTCGTCGTTTTCAGGGTCGACAAGGGGCGAACCATCGACTCGGTATAGGCCCGATTTGAATTTGCCAGGCTGGAGGCCGGTTTGGCTGGTTCCAACATTCTCAATTTCCAGACCCTGACAGTTATACTGTTCCGCGCGCTGGGAGTAGGTACTTCCCGAGCATCGCAACTACTACAACCACTCAATCACCAGATGCCCCGTAGCCAACAGCAATACGACCAACTGCTGGAGCGCATGCACAGCTATGGACACCTGGCTGAGCGTGCTCCCGGCAACATCGGGAGCATCTTCAGTGGTCGCAATGCCAGCCGACATTTATCATGCCGAAGTCAGCGACGCGCCAACGGCCACGTCGGGCAGTATCTGGGACGATGTGGAGCCCACCGAATCTACAACACTAATGCCAAGAGGCCAACGCTGCACGGGCCTCGGGCCCTAACGCTGGCTGGCCATCTGCCGCCAGCGACACGCCGCCCGACGCGACCACCCTTCGGGGCTCGTCCAGCCGACAAGGGGACGAGTCCTTCGACGCTGGCACTGGCACCGACACCTGCTCATCAATTGGCGTTGAACACATCGATTGGTAAGATCTGCTTGCTGGCCGCGACGCAGCGGTGCAATGCCTTTATCTGGGCTATCCTCATGCAAAGAGGAGGTGGAGACGACATACGAAGAAGCGAATAAAGCACTTCGGCGAGCAGTATGTCGGGTCTTCTGCCGCAACGGCAAGTGTCGTCGGAAGGGCGGTCGGCGCGCCCGTAGATGGCATGGAAAAGGAACGGCCGCGTTCATAGCCAGTTCGACCGATCGCGACATTGAGGAACGTTTATTGGAGGCCAAGGCAGATGTAAGAGTCGTAGGTATACCATGGGTAAAGGTAAGGGAGGTAAGCTCAGCGACATGGACAAGAGCGGCGATTGCATGACATGCAACATACGCGGGGGCGGCGCGCATTTTTAGGCGCGCAACACAGCATTTGCACGACGGCGTCGAGGAGCTCTACGACACGCCGCGCGAGGACTTGAACGGCATGCCTTGGCACGGACGCGCGCGACGACTCTGGCGACGACGACGACGACGACGAGGGCGACTGCGCGTCGGGATCGGGGACCGCACCTGCCACCGATACCGAGCTACAAGAACTCCAACTCGGACACGGGCAATGAGGCCTCCCCCAGCTTCCGACTCCGACTGTCTTCGGTCTCGCGGAAGAAGATCGGGCCGCGGTCGGCCAGGGGCGAACAAACGCCAGCATCCGCATAATGTTTGGTCGCCCTGGGCAGGCCCCCACTAGTTCAGGCGGCCCCGACAAATGCAAACAGGGCAGCGGTCGCCGCGGCCGCAGCGCCTCTGTCGGCCCCCCAGTGGGATCAGGCCCGGGAGCGAGCAGCGGTGGCCGAGGACTCAAGAATTCGCGTTTTGCAGGGCCCTCGACAGGCAGGGCCCCCGCTGCTGGCCGCTCTTGCGAAAACAACGTAACAGTGATTGGGGCTGGCGCGAAAGGCGGCTTTTCATTCTCCTACGACGAGCAGGGCCCACGCGCGGAGATCGCAGACGATGTCATGGCGCGCTGGCTGGGAGGAGGCTGCGGCGTGCAAGACATTCCCGCTGGCGGTCTCTTCAACGTGTTCTCCGCGACGAGCTCGGCCACGCCGTCGAGACGTCGCGTCGTGGAGGTGCGAATCGAGTGGGAATGCGGCGGCGCAAACGTGATCTGATCAAAAGAACCAGCGCTACAGCATGCGCGGCGGCCCTCTTTTCAGATGGCATCGCGACCGGTGCTCAATGGGTCGGCCGTCGCGAAACCCTTGCCGCCAAGAAACACCGCGGCGCCCTGACCAGGCGATGGTAGAGGAGGGTCGGTCACGGCCGAAGTCGAGTACCTACCCATGACCGGCGCAGAGGTCTTGGGAGCAAAGTGAATATGAGGGCGCTTCTTGGCGATTACATGCTACAGATCCACAGCCAGGACTAGCGTTGCAGACGCCCAGATGAGCCGAGCGAAGATTCTGGTGATTCAAGCATCCTTCGCCAACGAGAGCTGGGCGCGACGTGGCAGGCCGCCGGCGGCTCCAGCGCCGCTCCGCCAGCAGCGCCCCCTCCGCCATCGGCGCAGTGCGCGGGTGAGGAAGCAGGGGGAGAAGGAGGCGAGGAAGCAACGCCACTCCCGCCCACTTCGCCGGCGGA